TTAATAAAATAATTAAAAATATAAAATAAAAATAGAAGTTGGACGACGACACCATCTGCCACTGTCGAGTCGTAGATGGTGGTGTTTGCTCCCAAATTTCATGGGTCGGTTTGTCTCGACCATTGAGTTCAAATACGGTGTTGTTTCACTAGAAAATGTCCCAAGACCCATGAATATGACTGAAACGTTTAGGCTTCATCACAATTGATCTCAAATTCGTGACTTTAGAGTAAGTTAAGGCGAATTCAGACTTAGGTCTCGAGATGTACGGCCCATAAAATTTGAGACCGAACAACCACCATCTACGGTAATCGATTGTGGTCGGCGGTGGCGTCCGACCACCTTTTATTTTTATTTTATATTTTCAATTATCTTATATTAAATAATAATAAAAAATTCCACATCGTATATAAATAATAATAAAATAATTCAAAATCATCAAAACATGATTCATTCGAAAGTTCAGTGAGTAAATTAAAAAGAATTGAAAGTACAATAAGTAAATAAGAGAGTATAATTTAGTGAGGAACGATATAATTTACCCTTGAATTAAATTAAAATCAATATCAAACTGATAGAATTTATAAGTATTGAGGATCAAATATAATAATATTAATTTTATTAACTACTACGTCAACACTTTCGCTAAATGTTAACGACATATAACTTGATTGACACCATTTAAATAATTAAGTAGTTCAATTGATAAAATTGAGATATTACTGATAAAATGAAAAGAGACAATAATTAAATGATCATATATATAATTTACCCTTAAATTAACTAATAATAATGTAAATGTTGTGATCAAATTATGCCAATGAAAATAAAAGGATTAAATCTCAAATTTAGTGATAGTTGAGAGGTCCAAACAATAATTCGACCTAAATAAAACCCTGGCTAAAACCCGTATGATAAGTGTTGCTTGACTGCCCTTTCCCCATTTGTTCTTCCGCTTTACCCTCACTCTTGCTTGCGGCTGTTTGATTTTGCGGCAGATTCATTAAGATATAAAAAATGGCGGGGATTGTACCACCTGCTACTACGGCGGTTCCAGCCGATGTTTCTCACACGGCTCACACCAAACACGACGAGAAAACCGATTACATGAACCTTCCTTGCCCTATTCCTTATGAAGAACTCCACCGCGAAGCTCTTAGTTAGTTTTCTCTTCCTCACTTCATTTTATATATATGGATTTTCTTTATTGACTGTATCTGTATCTTTAGATCATGGATGCGGTTCTTTTTTATCTTTAAAGGAAAAAAAGAAAGAAAGAAAAAGAAACCCCGTTGGTTGTTTTTTGATCTATAGGTGTATGGGGAATTTAATGGTTTAACAGTTTGACTAGTGATGATGATGAGTCACTTGAAACTAGGGGATACGGATTTAGCTTTCGGTTTTGAAGTCCCTTTCTTAGAACCCTAGCTGCTCTGATTAGTGAAAATGATGGGTTCTTTTTTTTGATAATGTGAATATCTCTCATTCTTTCTAAGTAGATCGGTGGGTGTTTTTTTTATTAACCTTAAGATTAAGTTTTACAAAAGCATTTGCTTCTTAAAATTCGGGACAGCTGTGTCTTTGGGTTTCATAAGATGAACAATCATATTACTGATAACAACCCAGTTTCCAAGGTGGCATTATAGTGTTTTTTAAAACTGCAGAGCATGGCTAGTGGATAGTAATGTTTGGTAATACGGGACAGAAGGCTTTATTAGGGAAGTAAAAGCATGGCATAGGGTTTATTAGTGAAATTTTGTGTTCTTGAGGTTCAGTGAAGGGTTCAATTAAAGGTTTATTAGCCTGTTATTTTTTATGAAAAATGAATATTGCTCGAAAATGTTTGACAGTGTCTCTGAAGCCAGAAACTTTTGAAGGATTGCGATTTGATTTCTCCAAAGGGCTAAATCAGAAATTCTCTCTCAGTCACAGGTAGCTTCAGCATCTTCTATATTCATTCTTTTTTTTTTTTTTTCTTGAATCCTTTCTGTTCTGTCTTTATTAATTCTGGTATCTGTTCGCTCACAATCATCTCTCAGTGTCATTATGGGACCAACAGAAATTCCTTCTCAATCTGCTGAAACCATTAAAATTCCTACAGCTCACTATGAGTTTGGTGCCAATTTCATTGACCCCAATGTAGGTGCCTTCTCTCATTATCTCTACTCTTCCAAGCCACCCTCTTTTCTTCAATTTTTTATCCTAATAAATCAAGTTAAAAAGTGGGATCGATTATGGTCTTCTAGTTGATGCTTATTGGGAGGGTGCTGACTGATGGTAGACTCAATGCAAGAGTGAAAGGTGATTTGACAGACAATCTTACTGTGAAGGCTAATGCTCAAGTAAATCACGCTCTCATTTATTATTTAGTTTTTTTTCCTTTCCTGTTTAATAGCAGACTTTATATGTTTTTTTCTTGTGTAAGCTCATTGAGATTTGAGAGTTCTTGTTTCCTGTTCCAGCTCACAAATGAGCCTCATATGTCACATGGCATGTTCAACTTCGATTACAAGGTCAGTCACTCTGAAACTGTCTTATATCTTGCCTAGTTTGCTTTCATCTGTGTATATTTTTGTTTGTGTCATCATTGCAAGCGTGGAACCTGAATTTTTTGAGTTTATTCATCATTATTTTTGTGCTTGAAACAGAACTTATGTGGTAGCTTGGGCTTGCTGCCATGAAATATGAGTTCGTTTTTTGTCTTTTGACATTTTTTTTCTTTGGAAAGGGTAAAGACTTCAGGTCTCAGTTCCAAATGGGAAATGGTGCCTTATTTGGTGCTAACTATATCCAGGTAAATCATCTGAAGCCACATTATATTTGAAGTCAGCCGAGAGAGCATAACTTAGCGTATTGAAGAAGTTATTGGATGATTCCTAGAAAAAATACTTTTATTGTACCTAGACTCAAAATAATGTGGAATTATTATTTCTCTTGTATCGCTATAATGTTCCTTCCTTTCAATAAAAAATGCTCTAAGGTACGGATACCTAATAATGGCATAAACAACCTAGATCTTTACCAAAGGCCTTCTGCTTCCTGGTTTAAAGAGGCATTGCATACATTAATTGTCAATCTTCTGTTGATTCCACTACCTCTGCAATTATGATACTGTCTGTTTTTATTAATATTAAAAAACTGAATCTAAGCCGTTTTTGTGCAGAGTGTGACACCACATTTATCCTTGGGGGGTGAAGTATTTTGGGCCGGTCAGCACCGAAAGTCAGGCATTGGTTATGCTGCCCGATATGAAACAGATAAGATGGTAATGTAATTCTTCATTCATCATTGGCTTGTCGATATTTAATTGTCCAATAGTTAGTGGGTGCTTTTTGATTTCTTCTAAATATGTTTCTAGACATGTTACAAAAGTAGAGGTGTAATTTAAATTTTAGATCCCTAACCAAACTCCTTTCTTTCTTTATAATGGCCTATGGGCAAACCAAGACATTGGAATCAATTACATGGTATAATGCTGCTGCCTTTCTGATGGAAAAAGTGAATGTGCATTCAAAACTAGTTAATAGAATGATTGATGTTTAGCGCATTAAGCTTCTAGGTCAAAATTTGATGACCCCAAGTGGGCACATGTGTTGTAGACGCAAAAGAAAATCTTGGTTAAGGGTCTAAGCTCCATAAAGGTTTTAGAGATTCAAAAATACTCTTCATGTGGTCCCTGGATATTTGACGGTAATGCTTCTTCCTAATCCGACTTTTAATTAATTGGCTTCTCCCTAATATTTTCCCCCTTAACACTCCCGAGATGTGGAACTGAAATGTTAGTGCTAGAAATATCCTCTGTTTGCTCTAAGTGCATTTTACCAACCAAAGCTCTCTTTGACTCCAGGTTGCCACAGGGCAAGTTGCAAATACTGGGATTGTTGCTTTGAGCTATGTTCAGAAGGTATCTGATAAGGTAAGACTTCTTTTCTCTCCTCTAATAATATTGCAATTTGTTTCCTACTAATTCTCACGAATATTTATTTCTATCAAGGTCTCTCTTGCGACAGATTTCATGTATAATTACTTGTCAAGAGATGTCACTGCAAGTGTCGGCTACGATTACATCCTTAGACAGGTAAATTTTTGGTTGCTACATTTTCGTTAATGTTTCTGCATGCCTATAAAAGTTAGAACTCGGCATTTATATTGTTATTTTTTTTATCACCCTATTGCCCTTCTGGATATCATCAAAAGTAATTTTAAAATGTGTTTCTTCTATGCGGTTTTTATCGATTTTAACTGGACCACCATTCTGGTCAATTGATTTTTCATATTTCCAGTGTCGTTTGAGGGGAAAGATCGATTCGAACGGATGCACAACTTCGTATCTGGAAGAGAGATTAAATATGGGCCTAAACTTCATTCTCTCTGCAGAGGTAAGACAAAAAGAGAAACATTAGAAGCTGTTTTGATGTTTTTGCTTAGTCCTCCATGCTAAACGTTTTTATTCTCCGGTGTTGTGTTTTTGCAGATAGATCATATGAAGAAAGACTACAAATTTGGCTTTGGATTGACTGTGGGGTGATTCAATTGCGTTTTCTCCACAAAAAAATGCAGTTTGAAAGTTTCTTGGATCAGATTCACCATTTAGAAAATCTTGGTTGAAGATTGAAGGATTGAATTTGTACTTGAAATTGATGTTTTTATTGGAGCTGATGAAGCAAAATTTCAATGGTTGTTGATTTCACCGTTGAGAGATGTATTTCTCAAAATCAAATGCAATTTGAGATGTTATAATAATTTCATAGGATTTTATTCCTTTATTTTTAATGCTCGGTTTTTATATTTGGAATTTGATCCCTTTATTTTTAATTTTAGTAATTTAGTCCTTCAACCTTAATTTCCGAGAACTTGATCTTTTTATTTGTCTAGTTTAATAATTTAAATTCCCATAAAATAACCTTGCATAATTGGATTCTGAATTTTGGAAAATTACCACAAATTACGTGGATGATGGAGATATTTACAAACGTGGCATTGAAACAAATTTGAATCAGAACCCGCGGATAAAGGAGACTGACGAGGCCAGGAAATGTTTACGAAAGGGAAATAAAAATGAGCGGCAGAAAGAAGAGCTCCGACGCAACGGCCGATACCGATGCGGTGGAGCAACTGTTGCAAGCGGCGCAGGATGAGATGCTCTTAGAACTCTCCGTCGATAGCTATATGTCCCGTGTGGCACCTGATTATCTCGACCCCGATCTCCGCTGCCGATTCCAGGCCCTCCGATCCCGACCTTCCTCTTCCCAGCCAAAACAGGAAAAGGAATCATCGGCACAACCTCCACTACAGCCGCCGAAACCACAACTGGAGCAAAAGGAAGACGGAGATAAAAAGGGGCCAGAACCGAAGGTTGCTGTTGACGACGAATTGAAGGCTGTGTTGGGCGATGATCTATCCGCACGATTCGCTGCTCTCAAGGCTTCCTTGTCTTCATCTTCTTCTAATCCTACTGCTTCTACGACTAACGAAGTTCGCGTCGATCTAGAAAAATCCGATGGCGAAGATGATGAGGAAGATGAAGTTGAGAGAGTGATCCAATGGGCAAAGGACGCTGCTCGCCTTGATCCTTTCCCTGCCTCTGATGATGATGATCTAATCGGTTCCGATTCCGGTGATAATGATACCGACTATGATGATGATCCCAAACATAGAAAAAAGGAAACTAAACGCAGTATGTATTTCAATTTCCTCAGGAAAAGACCCCTTTGATGTTATTGAACTGTGTCTCTTTGGAATTTAAGTGTTATTGAACTGCATCTCCATTCAATTTTAGCAGTGTTTCGTGGGCGATTTGTTGTTTTTAGCAGAAAACAAAACATTTATTCCCTAATTCAATATTCTTAACTAATTTGATTTAGGATTTATGTCAACTTTCTACGAATTCAACCAAAATAAAAGCTTTGGGTAATTATAGATTAGATAAAGGGAAAAGTGGAAAAAATGTATGATTGACTACTGCTTGTGTTATAACATACTATTATTTTGATATATTCCAGGGAAATGAGAACCTTAAAGCAACCTTGCAGGCATTAAATCTTCATGTAATGGTACCATACACTTCAAGGTTTCATCATATTTTCTTTTCATTTTACAAAGTCTTCATTTTCCTTTTTTGCCTGTAGGTTTTCTTGAAAGATCAATCATGCGTAGAACACTGCTATTTCTTATAGTTTGCAGTTATGTGCTATGTAACTTCAGCAGTGAATATTCTTGTAGACACAATTAGTATTTCCTGTGCAAAAACGAGTTGGAAATGATGATTTGTGTGTCTAGGAATGGCTTGCAATGCAAGATCTAACCAATCAACATCAACTGATTAAGAATGGGGGTAGGGAGGGGGTTTCAGGTTTCTTCCATTTGTGTTATACATGATGAATGCGTTATTTTACTAATTAATAATGACATTGGCTGCAAGCAAGGACTCGGCTCCCTTCTCTCATGGAGAGGGGGAGAATGGGGAAGAGCTAAGAGTGAGATTATTCCTCCCCTTTAAGGAGAGAGGGGGTCTTCTTATATATTTTACGTTCCTAATGCCATGTGGCACCAGTGGATTAGCGAATAGCTGAGAATGGGCCTATGGACAGGTCGACTTAGGGTTTGTTGTGTTAGTTCGTTGTCATACATCCGATAAGGTCAGGGAGGGTGATTAAGCAGACCAGTTTGTCTTGTCTGGATAAGGAGATGTACCGAGGGCTATAGTCCTGCTCCCGAGCCAGGAAGTCGGGGGGTGTTGGGTGATATTCCGGTGTTGATTTCTGCAGACCATTTGGGCCTGCCGGGAGTGTACTAATGGGCCATTATAACAGTTGTCATGTTTGATCTTGACCCTTTTGTTGTGTGTGTTTGATGAGTTCTTAAGAAGTATAATTAAGTGGTTAATATGTTATGTTGATAAGTAATTTCAGACTGGTTTTGGAGTTGGATGTCTTGCTGATTCTTCTTTAAGTTGAATCTGATGGGGGTATTGCATCTCAAATCCAAATAGAACTCTGGTTGTTTGATCCTTTATAAGATGCCTTTGAAATTTACCCGATTAACAATTTGTTCTCGTGATAGACTGGAAACTGTCAGGCCGGTTTCGAGAGTATATGTTTATCAGATATGCCGATGTTCAAAGTTTGGAAAGATAAATTGCAGGTGGTGTTCCCCTCAAATTGGTTGCGGTTTATTCATTTCTACTTGCATTTAATTAAACCGCCATTGATGATTTGCTTGTGAATACATTTTGGTGCCAAAACAAATGCTTCATTGCTTATGATTTCTTGACGTTTATGCACTAGGTAATAAGGTTTGGTGAAAACTTTGAAATCTCGGGACACGGTGACCAATTTAATGTCATTTTTAAGGTTAATATCTTAACATTTTATTTCTAATATTGTGAAAAATTAATTAAAAAATCTTTAAACATGTACAATATCTAATTTAAAAACAGTTTAATTAAGGATGAGCCTAGGTTAAATCGAAACGAATTTTTGGTCTACTTGAACTTGACTCAAGTGTTCTCTCTCTATATCATCAGACTTATTCTGAGTTTTTTTACATGCCATCTGACTTGATTTGAGTTTAGGAAGATTTTACTCGACCCAAAACCTTACTCAACATTTAGGGTAAAAGTCAGCACTTGACCCGATATATATATATATATTAGATAAATATTATTGTAATTATTTTTAAATATATAAGAGATAATTATATCTTATTTTAAATTATATTTATGATTTTTAATTTTAAATTTGAACTAAATCCAACTATATAATACTCTATTAAAATATTAAATCTAACTCAAATTTATTTATTCTTTTAAAAAACAAAACTTGTACAATTGAATTAAAAACTATTATATTAATATCTCATACACATTCTTAACTTGTATTAATAGATTTATTATTATTTTTGTACATTGTTGATTAGGCATATGTTTTTTTAAGTTCACATGTCAAATCATGTAAAATGGAAGAAATGATAAAAAATTTCTTAAAAAGTGAATAATATATTTAATAGATTTATTTTAATGAAATAATTTGATAAAGGATAAGAAAATGAAATATAAATGTTGGTATTTGTGATTTTTCTAATAAGATATTTTAGATGAGATAATTTTAGAATCTAAAAGAGATAAATTTTAATAAAATGAAAAAATATTAAATAAGAAAAACTTGAAAAGAATATAAAAAATGTAGTATTGCATTATTAGTTAGTTATTTAAATAATAATAAAATAAAATAATGAGAATTAAATAATAAATCTCCCCCACTAGTCCACCTATGACCTGCCATATTATTCACTTTCCAATAACAAAGTGATGTAGGAAGGAAGGGAGGTTCATTGCAACAACGCCAATCGCCATCATCTGTTGGCCCCACTCACCCGGTAACGTATCTCACCATCTCTCTCCTTCATCTCTTTTCTCATTTACTCTCATCTCTTCAAATTCAATTCCTCTCGTCTTTGTTGTTTTTACAAGGTTTCTGAAACTTGGGTCTCTCATCTGGTTCACTTGTTTTATTTCTGGGTTTTTGCTTCTTCTTCCTTTTCACTGTTGGGTGTGTGGAAATGGGGAGTGTTAGCGGGGAAAAGCTGAGATTTTGTATCGATAGAGGTGGAACTTTCACCGATGTTTACGCTGAGATTCCTGGCCACTCCGATGGTCGGGTCCTCAAACTCTTATCCGTCGACCCATCAAACTACGATGATGCTCCTATCGAAGGAATCAGGCGAATCCTCGAGGAGTATACGGGGCAGAAAATCCCTCGGACTGTCAAAATCCCAACTGATAAAATCGAATGGATAAGGATGGGGACAACTGTTGCAACCAACGCCCTTTTGGAAAGAAAAGGCGAAAGAATCGCTTTATGTGTCACTCGAGGATTCAAGGATTTGTTACAGATTGGCGACCAGTCTCGTCCCCATATCTTCGACCTCTCTGCAACGAAGCCATCGAATCTCTATGAGGAAGTAATTGAAGTTGATGAGAGGATTGAGTTGGTTCTTGAAGAGGAAAAGGGGGATAAGGAGAAATCTGGGTCATTTGTTAAAGGGGTTTCTGGTGAGCTTGTTCGGGTTGTCAAATGTTTAGATGAAGGATCTTTGAAGCCATTGTTGAAGGGTTTGTTGGAGAAAGGGATTAGTTGTTTGGCTGTTGTTTTAATGCATTCTTACACTTACCCTTATCATGAAATGGCTGTGGAGAAGTTGGCTGTGAGCTTGGGTTTCCGACATGTCTCGTTGTCTTCGGCTTTGACTCCTATGGTTCGTGCCGTTCCTCGGGGTTTAACCGCCAGTGTGGATGCTTATTTGACCCCTGTCGTGAAAGAGTACTTGTCGGGGTTCATTTCTAGATTTGATGAAGGCATTGCGAAGTTGAATGTTTTGTTTATGCAGTCGGATGGAGGGCTTGCACCCGAAAGTCGGTTTTCGGGGCACAAGGCTGTTTTGTCTGGCCCTGCTGGGGGAGTTGTTGGCTACTCACAGACTCTTTTTGGGCTTGAAACGGAGAAGCCTTTGATTGGATTCGACATGGGTGGTACATCAACCGATGTGAGCCGATATGCTGGAAGTTATGAACAGGTCTTAGAAACTAAAATTGCTGGTGCTATAATACAAGCGCCTCAGCTTGACATAAACACTGTTGCTGCTGGTGGTGGATCGAAGTTAAAGTTCCTGTTTGGAGCTTTCCGGGTTGGACCGGAGTCGGTGGGGGCTCATCCTGGTCCTGTGTGTTACAGGAAAGGTGGAGAATTGGCTGTCACTGATGCAAACTTGATTCTTGGGTATGTTGTTCCTGATTATTTCCCGGCAATCTTTGGTCCAAAGGAAGATCAGCCTCTAGATGTCGAAGCAACAAGGAAAGAATTCGAGAAGCTAGCAGAGCAAATAAATTCTTATAGAAAGAGCCAAGATTCATCTGCAAAGGACATGACAGTGGAGGAAATTGCACTGGGGTTTGTGAATGTTGCCAATGAGACTATGTGTCGTCCAATACGTCAGTTAACTGAGATGAAGGGCCATGAAACGAGGAACCATGCTCTTGCTTGCTTTGGAGGTGCTGGGCCACAACATGCCTGTGCCATAGCTAGATCACTTGGTATGACAGAAGTACTTATCCACCGGTTTTGTGGAATCTTAAGTGCATATGGAATGGGATTGGCCAATGTTGTAGAAGAGGCACAAGTTCCCTATGCTGCAGTTTATGGTTCTGAATCTGTTGTGGAGGCCTCTTGTCGAGAAGCTATATTGTTAAACCAGGTAAAGCATAAGCTGCAAGAGCAAGGTTTCAGAGAGGAAAATATAAAGACCGAGACATATTTGAATTTGAGGTATGAAGGTACAGATACAGCAATCATGGTAAAGAGACTTACTGCAGAAGATGGATCTGGATCTGACTATGCGGAAGAATTTGAGAAGCTTTTCCAGCAAGAATACGGATTTAAGCTGCAGAATAGAAATATACTTGTATGTGATGTCCGAGTTCGTGGGATTGGAGTTGCCAATATATTTAAACCACAGACCCTAGAACCTGCTTCTGGCTCTCCCAAAATTGGAGGCCACTACAAGGTCTTTTTTGGGAATGGATGGCATGATACACCATTGTTCAAGCTTGAGAATCTGGGATGTGGACATGTCATGCCCGGTCCTGCGATCATCATGAATGGGAGCAGTACAGTGATAGTAGAACCAAAATGTAAAGCTGTTATAACCAAATACGGGAACATTAAGATTGAAATCGAGTCTACTGTAAACACTGTAAAAGTTGCTGAAAAGGT